AAAATGGATTTTAGATATGAGTGGTCGATAAAAAAGATAACTAAATATAAAAGATAACTAAATAACTAAATATGTCGGCCATGTTCCATATAATGAGCGAAATATCCAGGATTGTGCTGGGTTTGTCCCATTCAAAAACTAACAGTTTAGAAGGAAACGGAAGCGGAAATAATAATAGAATTATTTGTTTCAATTCTAAGAATTAAGGCAATGAATGGTTCGATATTACATAACATTGCTTTTTGTCGTTCGTTATCACAGAAGAGTTGGAGTTTGTTGTAGGGATTTGTATAACTGAAATTTCATCATTCTGAAAGAGTTTAGGATAAAATTGAACAGATTTTGTGATGTGAGAAAAATATCATTTTAGTCCTGCTGTTGATTTTGTGAACTTATTTTAGTTTATCGTTCAATTTCGTTCCATCGTGAAAAGTGAATAATTTTGTCATCACCAGCGAATTCCTAAATTTTCAAATATTTTAGGTTATCGATGTCGTTCAGTCACAAAACAAAAAAATTAAACCCCATTCAGTTTTTGGTTTTTTTGTGATGGATATGTGGAATAGAATTCATAATGCTGCAAGTTCCCGAAAATTGATTTCCTAATGGTTAAGGTCGTTTTAACAACTCCATTTTATTAAAAAATCACTCTCATATGTTTCTGGAAAAAGAGTAGAAATGACCAGCTGTTAGCGATTATAGATTTATTTATAACGTTGAAAAGCATTTATTGATGAGCAAATTAGGCAATTTTTTTATTTTTTAATGTTTCATTTTTCCTTCATATTCATCTATCCTAACTGCAAAATATGAGGTTATTTCTGCCATATTTATTATCACTCGCGCAAGATTTATATGAAAATAGTGGGGATATTGGCTGAATTATTAAAATTTTGAAATTGTGCTTGAATTTCTTCGTTCTTCATACCAATTTTCAAAAAAAATTTTCAATAATTCTTTTCTTTAATTTTTGCACCAATCTTCTTCACAGCTATTTTATAATTTTTGTTCACTTTTGCTTCATTCTTTTTCTAGCTTTTATTTTTCATAATTTATCTTTGTGCTTCATTTCAAGATTTTTTCTGAATTCTCGCGACAAACGTATCAAAAAAGCAGATGGTGTTAGAAACACGCTTCTAAACCAAATCGGGATTCAGCATGATAAGTCAAAACAGAAATGGTGCTTGCTTAGAAGACTGTGAGGACAAAAGTGCATATTTTAGCAAATGTTGGCAATCGAATGAAAAATCAAAATCATATCCTAAAAAATAAACTAGAACTCTAATGGATCTCGTAATAAGAAGTCAAAAAAAAAATTTCCGAAATTTTCGCTAAACAAAGAATAATATCAGTTTTAGGAATGATCTTCATTTAAGAATGCGTCATATTTTGATATATTTATATTGATATATTTGATATATTTCAACTGAAATAAAATATACATATAAAATTTAATTTAATTTAACTTATCTTGTAACCAGCACTAATAAAATTAGGACTAATGATATATCAGGTATTATCAAATAATTTCGACATCATAATAAGATTTTTGCTCACTCCATTCTTTTCATCCTATTAAACTTTAAACTGTTAGCGAGAATTCTATTCTTGTTTTTCCCAGTTTTTCGACCCTTTAAAATATTCAAAATATTATTAATTGAACCCTGACGCTTAAAAAACTTGGTTAATTTCTTCAATGAGTTATCTAGACTGGACAGCAAATGGAGATAAAAATTAAGAAAAGCAGGCAGCGACAACCACAATAAAATCGCTGAAGCTTTATGTCTTATTATAAAATTTATTGGAAAAGATATTTCTATGGATTTAAGAAAGTCTAGAAATCTTCAAGCTACGAGTGATCGTTAGGTGAAAAAACATAAATAAAAACAAAATAAGTTTAGAAAATTCTATGATGCAAAATGCAAGAAATTTAAATTAAACCGTTTCCTACCACTCAAGCTATTTAGTGTGTTTTTTACCGAATTTTAGGTCATTTGACATCAGTGATTCGCGGATTTTGCCATTCTCACCATTATTATTTATTCTTATCATAATAATAATAATAATAATAATAATAATAATAATAATAATAATAATAATGATAATGATAATGATAATAATAAATGTTTTATTAATTGCGATTTTTTTAAGCTCTTCTTATCATCAGGCATAATGGTAAGTTGTTGTTGATTATATCCTATAGAATGTCTATAAGACTTATGAAAATTAAGGAAAAAATAAAAGCAATAAAGTTAAAGCATCTATCAAAAAAATTTTACCAAAAAAAAACTAAAAACGCGATCGGATTGATTTTTAAAAAATTTTTAAGATTCAAAACAATCTCCATTCCATTCTCCGCATTCAGACAATGAGCTTTAAACAATCTGGTCTAACAATAGGTAGTGAGGATACTTGTCGATGAATTTAAGGTATATTCCGTAGGCATCCTAGCACAATAAATATTTGTATTCATTACCAGTCGCGAGTAGATTGCTTCGACTGATTAAACCTATGGTAGGTTATTATTCCTGTTACTGTCCCTTGACGCATTGTCGCTAAATCTATCATCGAAAGAGAAGTTTAAATGCTTCTGGGCGCCCACTTTTATTTCAGTTTTCTATCGAAAAGCCCTTTAGTAGCCAACGGAAGTAGCCAGGCCAGAAATAAGTAGTTAGTATTGTTTAGACAAAAAAATATCGGCATCGGCGCTTTTAAAAAAATGATTGAAAGTGCTTTTTTCTTCTTGCTTTTTACTTCTATGATGAACTGATTTAATGAAAAATAAATATTAATTTAAGTAATTTAATAACAACTCGACGATATAAAAGAGGCAGACGAACAAATGATCAATTATTTTAGCTAATGAATGGTCCAGTTAAATTCATTGTCTGAAAATTAATATATATTCCATGCGTGTTAATTAATTATTAACTGAATGAAGCCTTTAGCGTTTGGCTATTTCTATGCGCATTATGCTCATATTAATCAATTAAACTAAAGATTCAATTAAAAATTTGTTTGAGATAGGTGCAACCTGAGAATAAGAAAACGTTAAACTTAATTGTCAGCCTAATATATACGGTGTCATAAACATGTAACGAAAAAAGCATTAAAGCAATCATTAAAAATGAAAAATTTGAAACTCCTAGGTTAATTTTAAGTGAAATTAGGTCAAGTAAAATCGAACTACAAGTTAATTATTTGCGCAAAAGTAATAAGTTATGTGACAAATTTCCAATAATCAAGGAATTATTTTAAAATCTCGAATGTAAGCTTTCTCTATATCTAAATAAATAAATAAGTTATTCAAATAAATATGTATTTTTCTGGCAGTTTTAATGACAGATTTGCTTCTGCAGGGAGCAAAAGAACTATCCATTCGCCTATTTTTCTACTATTTAAATTCATATATCGCATCGGTTGTTTAATGTTTATTAGAAATATCTATGAGTAAAAAATGATTTTTTTTGTTTTCATTGCATATTTTATAAAATTATTGAATTTAGTCGAACGTTGGGAATATTTGCTCATACATTTTTTTTATTTTTATTTAAAATGCATTTGTATTAAATTATATTTTTCTTTATAGAGTTTTATAAAATAAGATTTTAAAAATGAAGTTTGAGGATTGTCGATTGTTTATCACGGATTCATAGGTTATATATTTTAATTAATGGGCATTTTTTACATGTACCTTATTTTTTCTCTAGAAAATAACTATTCTAAGCTTATCTCGCAATTTTTTAACCAAATCTAACTGCAAATAATAGTCTCTTACATAGTACTTCATTAATTTATTGGAGATAAGGTTAAAAATTTCAGATTATGTTAAAGAAATCGAAATAAATTTGAAATTTTTTCTAGAATTTTTTCTCAAATAAATAAAAGTTGATATTAACTGTACCAATTTTGGAGCTTCAGATTAATTAGGAATGCATTTGAAAACAGACCAAAAAATGACAATGACAAGTATTTCAAAATAGGCTAATCCTTATATTATTCCAATTTCACTTTACAAAATGGTCCAGGATTTTTAATTCTATGGCTTAAATTTTAATTTCGCAACTATGGTCAAAAAATGGTCATAGCTTATGAACACGTTAAATTCTAGCTAAATTAATTCTGATTCAACTAAAAAATTTTGTCCAGAAATTTTTGCGGTTCATTTGTATCTGAATGTGGAGAAAGACTTGAACTGAACTGAATCTTGAATTGATTCGGAATGCAATTCGAACAACAATACAAAGTAATAAATAAACTAGGATCGTATAAAATGCTTTCCATTTCACCAAATAAAATCTATGAGTCATCATATCTATAGGCAGTTTGTGTCAAATTTTAGATATTAAACGAATTAATAGTAATAAATTATTTCATTCGCAAAAGTAATAGTAAATAATAAATTTATTAAAAAACTTACCTTCTTTTCTTCCATATTCAGTCAGTAGGATTCGATAGATTTTCATTTATTTTATGGTAATATTTATTTGTAAGAAAAACATACGAGAAAAATGGTAATCTAATGGTAATGATCGCCAAAAAATTCGTTAAACATATCAACTGATAAAATATAAATATTTTGTGTTTTGCGATTTTTTAAATCAAAAGTTTGTGTTTTTTAAGGCAGAAAATTACATTAGCAGTTTCAATTGCAAATATTTCAAATGAGAAGTTTGCTAGTGCAAGACGGCAAGGGTATTTTTAGCCTACGTTAATATGAATTAATATTCAACTATTCAATCCATAATACTTTCTGGATACTTAACACGGTTGAAGGCTTTTTAGCGCAAGATTCAGTTCGGCAAATATTGAAACAACAATTATATAACTGAAAACGAATAATTGTCTAATAAATATCTCTGAATTAAAATTTCAGTTCATTTATTATTTAAGATAATTTTGCAATTATTTTCTTAATCGCAAAATACAAAATAGTATCCTTTGATATATTTTCTTGATATATGTTAAAATGTGTAAATATTCTTTTCTTTTTGTGTAATTCATCCGAGTCTCATTAATGCTCGTTTTCCAAAACGAAATACAGAACGTTTGCCAAGTCTCATCATTGCTCTTTTATAAGCAACGATATATGGGTGAAGATCGAAATCGCTTATATCTTCTAATGGAAAATTTTCCAGTTCTGGCCCTGAAATTTGAATTTTTAGTTAGAATAGAATTGCAAAAATCATGAATCAAATAAAATGAAACTGAATTCAGCAATATTAGCGTGATTTTTTTGATGAAAAACTTGGCTTATCTATCAATGAATTTGTATCCTTCAAAAATTTACCATTTTTACTTATAAAAAAACTATTCGGCTTTTCGGAAGTCTCTCCAACCATAATGACGAAAATAAGCAACCATGTCGTGAATGTGTTCATTATGGCTGAAACAAAAATAAAAAAATAGGGCAAAATGGTATAATCAAAAATCTGCGGTAAATATCAAAATAAATAATTATTTGTAAATATTATTTTATGTCATAATTAAAATAATTATATTTTGTCATAATTATAAATAATTATGATGAATTCATTTAGCAAATCAGTTTTCTCCAAAAGGATTTAAACAAACAAATATCTTTCAAAGGATTAGAATGCACATGGAGTTATGGGTGAATAACATATGGGCCAAGTCCATCGATACGAAGAGAAATTATTATGAAAAAAAAATTATTATGATATGAAAAAATATCACATAAAATCACAAAAATATTATTAAGGTTCGCAGATCAAGATTTCGTGTAATGATCAACGAATATAACGAGAGGATCCTTTATAATTTGATAAAAGCCATCCGTGTAAGAAAAGCCTTTAATTAAACAACTCAAACGATTTTCTAGTTAAAGAAATGCAACCAACTAATGAATTTTTTTTAAGCTATCGAAGTTAAAGACGGATGAAAGTTGTAATTTAAAAAACATCACATTTTTATGGCTACTTTTCCTGATTAATTATGCCAAGCCAACTCTGGCAAAATGAATTAAATCTAATGGATGAACAAGGATTAAATGGATAAAAAAATTCTAATTAAAGGACACGAAGAGCGCTAGACAAAAAAATTGATTAAAAAATGGGCAATAAGTTACCTTAACAAGTTTGGAACTATGAAAGCGATACATTGATAATTAATCTAAAAAACATAGGATTAAAACGAATCTTAAGCGAATTACCATATGTTATCTAATGTCTTACTTGAGTAATGTCTTATTTACTTGAATGGGCTCATTTTATCAGCTAGAATTTAACTGCTAGATTATCATTATAAAATGAAAAAGTGATTGACAGAAAGTCAGAAAGCCATAAACTATTTTAAAGGTTATTATGATTGGAACATTGATAGAAATGTCAATTTAGGAAAAAGGTGGAATAAATTAAATCTAATTCAACTTTAAATTCATGGACTTAATTTAGATTCTTGGAAAGAAAATTAAATTAAATATGAATCCAGTGTTGTAAAATGAGCTTTGATTCTGAATTTACAATATAAATTAAAATTGTTAGGCGGTAGGATGCCCAATTGGTTTCTCGTTCCGATAAAGGTATTATAAGTCTATAAGATGTGGTAAGTTTGATTCTTGCTGCTAAACGGGAATAAATCTATCATTTAAAGTGAAGAATTATGAGTGTGGAGAAATCTATCTTTCTTTAGCTGAGGTCAGCAGAGCCTTTTACTTCTAATAAAAACTTTCAACTGCAGTCCAATCATCCATTGCTAATTACCAGTGAAAAATTAACCATGTACAGGTGTTTCCTTAAAGAAATATTTATTATTCAGGTGAAAGCCAGGAAAATTGCTTGTTCAGAATGAAAGTTTTTAGTGCAAAATCCTATCAACAAAATAAGAAGTATAAAGACAAGGGCAATCGACATAAATCTGAATTTGAACTTAAATCCATTCATTATAAGCGAGGTAAAATTGTGTGCAGTTTGGTATAAAAAAAGATTTTTGCTATACAAAGCAGTTTTTTTCTATTCATTCTTATTGAAAGGAATTAGAATATTTATTCAGATTCCCACAAAGCTATTAAATTAATTTTTCGCCATAAAAGTTCGAGAATTAAAGTTTAAACTAAAAAAAATTTATTTTTCTACGTTATTCATCTTATCCTACGCACTCAACTATGCTAAGAAACAATAACAATTATTAATAACTAACGAATAAAAATTATATGGTCACAATTTCTGCACCAAATTATACGTTTTTAAACGTAATTTAGGTAAGAAAAGTCGTTAACGCTCAACGTTACTGATTAAGGTAATTCAGCTCAGCTGGCCAGTTAGAAAGTTTTGCTATTTTGGCATAGATCGTCAACACAGGATTCAATGACGGATTTCTTCTTGCCAGGATCTCAGAAATCGAACCTCGGCGTATTTTAAAGCACTACACCACTCGATCATCCTTGCTCTTAGGCGTAGTCTATCTAGCAAGAACATTCTCAAAAATCGTTAATCATAAATTTTTCAAGATAAAAATCTTAATGGATGAATTGAATTTCGAGATTTATAAAATTTCAAAATAGAATGATTTTCGGAAAAAATTTTTTTTGCAGTTGCTACAGAGTGTGAAGCCATAGAGAAAAAGCTTTCGGTCCTCTATTTCCTTTTATTTCTTAATTAATTTTGTTTAAATAAATTCAATTAATTTTACTCATAGCAAAAACGAATTGTCTATTTTAATGCCTTGAAATAATTTAATTCTAAAACTGGGACATAGACGTACGGGAAATATAAAACTTTTATTAAAAACATGATAATAATTGGAATATGCAAAAATTTTTTTATAATCCTTATGAAATTTTTTTCCATACAAAACTAGCTTTTTAAAAAATTTCCTCAATTTTTTTCTGGCTGATAAAATTCAGCATAACAAATTAATTCTGCACTCTTCAGAACTGAAAATTTGACAATTATTCTATTTCAAATTTGCATCGCGTGAAAAAAAATACTATTAATTGCATTGGATTAATTCTGATAAATGTAAAATGATTTGTATAAAAGGAGGAATATAAAATAAATTCATTTGGTGATGCCTAATTTAAAATTTCTTCACTGAAAATTTTTCTTCACTGTAACACTTAGGTTCTCGAATTATGATTCGATAACGCAAAACGACAGTCATTAAAAGCCCGAATGGTCTTGTGGGCAGGTTACATTTTATCCCAGAAAGATTCACTTGGATTTTTCGATGACTGATTTATTCTCGCTGAAGGCAGAACCTGAAAATTTCACTCTAAAAATACAACGCTCGACATTTCCGCTCTTCATTTTTCGATGAGAAATTGCAAGGATCATAACGAAATCAGACAAACAAGTAATAATCTTTTTTCCGGAGATACGCTATTGGAAATTGTTTCTATTGGAAGTTCAAGTATAAAGACATAAAAATGAAGAATTAATTAATTAACCGTAATATGAGCAATTTTTTTAAAGTTTAAACGGAATCCAAATAAAACCTAAACTGGCTGTATTATATGCAAAATTTAATTAAAATTCAAAAATTTGCTTTGCGAAATATCACCTATTCGTTCAAAAGCATTGAAGTGTTGCAATTTGTGGAACATAATTCTTCCATGTCTTATCTAAAAAATTCACATTTTTCTGATATCGAAGACTGGATTCAAACCGTTAACACTATTTTTGGTTTAGATGGCTATACTGACCATTAGGATGAGGTGTGTCATTTGCGGATAGAAATGAACCAGTTAAGATGAACCAGTGCAAATGATTTTATCGTATAAATTTCGGTTAGCCGATTCCCTTTAATGGATTGGACAGAAAATTTAGTAATTTAACCTTACTTTCAGAGCAGAAATCTTACCTTTCTTAGAGAAATTAATAAAACAGTGATAATAATGATATTAATAAAAAATTTGTGTTTTATTTCATTATCATGTAAATTAACATTAATCATGTAAATTAACATTAATAATAAAAATATTAACATATGCATGCAGCCAAAAATTATTCGCAATGCAACAGATGACTTGCAATTTTTCTAAGCTGAGAAACTTGACAAAAGGTTTTAGCACAGGTTTTAGTCTTTATAAAAAATAAAAATAAAAAAGTGCACTATTTATCCGAATGATTTTTACGAAAAAATACACAATTGAATTGGAAACCAAGTGTTTAGCTATTAGCACTTTACAATTTATTTGGCAGAATTTTTTCTATAAGCCTGAAAAGACCTAAAAATTAATTAATTTTATTTCGAATTAATGTCAAATTTCTTTGGAATATAAGAATATAGAAAAGAAAATATATATAAGAAGTACATATAAGAATATATAAAAAAACGAAGAAAGAATTGCTGCCGCAATCATTGCTTACGACACAAATGTGCTGCAATTGGAGAAAACTTTTGTCAAGAAAAATTTATTGCAAAAAACCCTCTAATCCAGTAACTAACTGAATTTTTTAAATCCGATTAACCTACAAAGAAAGAGAGATTTACAATAATGGATCGAGGACAACCAGCACAGTCCTAGTCGCCTGTAGATTCTTTTGCTACTCTCACTGTTCAATTTTGGAATTTTTTGTTTTTGTTTTTTGTCAGAAGTAATTTTCGTGGGCGATTTTTTAAATTTAATATTCTTTATTTTTTAGACGATTCGAATGTCACCCAGGTTAAGTTCTTTTCATTTTCTTTATATTCGAATTTCATGCATTCTTAATTTTTCGCCCAATCACCAATCATTTGTTTACACTTTTGATTATTTTTCTTTTCGACATGGAAAATTCGAAATGAATTCGTAAAAAAATTAGACGTTTATCATCGATTAAACCACCTAAAATCAGAGGTTAATGGCAGTTAGAAATTTTTGCCAGGGATGTCACTTGATAAAACACGAGCGCACAACAAGCGTCCTAATCTCTTAGATTGTAGAGCCGAGCAGTCCTTGTTTCGGAAAAAGCCACACCGTCCTATCTTCTTGTTATCGAATGGCTAATGCAAAAAGTTACTGAGGTCGCAAGTAATTAAAAAAAAATCAAACCAAAAACGATTCGAACCACCGACTCGACTCAACACTTCGAAACAATTCAGTAATAATAGGTAATGAATAATAAATCAATCGACTGAATAGAATTCAATTCAGTTCAATTCTTTAACCGCCATACTTTCTTCAGGAATATTCGAATGGCAAATGCACCATCTGAATAATAGACTAAAATAATGACGCACGAATTATCAGTGGGGTATATACCAGAAGTTTAACAGCAAGATGATTCCCAATAATGTAGTGAGTAATTCTCGTTCTTGTAGGCGCCAGTCGAAAGCAAGTAAAAAAATTCGTCAGTGGCCTAGCGAAAAGAGATGGACAAATTCATTAAAAAAACGATACAAATGAGATAACTGAAAGCGGGTCAATGGGATGGAAAAAGACTATGAACAGCCTTTGATAATTTATATAGACAAATTTCTCAAGGAATGGATAAAAACACCGTTTGCAAGAGCCGAGAACAAGATAAGGAAAGCAGATCGATCTCCAAATTTACTTTTGCATTCGCAATTCGGCGATACCTTTGAAAGAAATGAATATGTCCATAAAATGAGTGACTGGTACTAGGGATTCAACTGTAGCTCTATATATAGTGGAAGAGCGTAACTCCAGCAATCCAGCAATCAGTGGAGCAAATCAAACCACAAATAATGAGAATTCTTGTAACACCTAGCAAACATTTCTCGGATATGTATATGACCAAATATCGCTGAGAAAGATTACTAAAAATGATTATAGTGAAAAAAATGTTGAAACAGCTGAAGCGGAAATAAGCGAAAACATCTGCGCAGTCAAGCAAGCAATGTTATCCAATGGCTAAAAGTGCGCATCTGTAGGTGCGTAAGATTACTGATTATTTATTTCATAAATATATGCATTTGAAGAAATTTCTTTTTCGATAAATAATTAAATATTAATTACAAAATATCATCGATAGTAGAATTTAATAAGGAAGAAGGGAATAAGCATACATATTAATTAATCCACAAAATTTCACTATTTGTCCATGGCGCGTACTCATTGTTGTTTATATGCGAATAAAAAAATTGATATTAAATTGCCGATTAAAACATTTATTTTTGAAGGGTTATAGGTTTAATAATAATATTAGCACTTAATAAACATTGAATAAGCAAAGAATTTTTATATTTATAATTGATAATCCGAATAATCCAAATAAATTTTAGCCAGTCCCACTTGTTAACTTCTCTGCCAAAATGCTCAACGCATTTTTATTGTCTACTTAAATTACAGATCCTAATCATACAAATTTAAAAAACTATTCTAAAACTATTAGTACATTATCTTACCAACAGATTTCTCTCCTATTTGGTTGTTGCTGTATTCGTGATTTAATTTTTCCATTATGTTCTCTTGAAAAAACATTATTTTTCTTCCACTATTTTAAGTCAAGTCACAGTTTTTCTATTAATAGACCACTAATGAAAACTAACCACCACCTGTTGACCACTGATTATCTATGGCCATCAACATGGATAATTTCTATCCGAAGATTTTAAGCATTTGTTCTTGTAAATAATTCGATTGATTGCATATTTCAATTTACAATCCAATTTTATATAAGGAGAAAGAGCCATAAGCTTTGAAACTAAGATTTCATTGATGAAAGCAAATTCAGCATATCCGTAAAGTTGAAATTATGAAGTCCGTAATAAAATGTTGAATTTTTCTTGGTCAGCTCCACCTAAATTTAAATATTATGTTTAAAATTTGCTGAATTACAATACAATACAAATGGAATCATGATGAAAAATAATTTAAAAGTTCGAAAAAAATGCATAAATTTCATTTTTCTGTGCCTTTAAGTAATCTATTTCAATAATTATTCGAATAAACTTTCTAAGCAAATATTTCATAGTATTCATTAAAAAACAATATCATGAAACTTGTAATAAGCAGTTAAACATCGAAAAATTCGAGTACTGTTGACAACCCACATCCATGGTGGCTCTCTGGCGAAATTGCCTTATTCTCCTAATAGCACGTGTGGTGAACCTGACCAGAAATGGTGACTAATTGCTTATTTATACTTCCTTCTAAACATTCCTTTAAACATGAAAAACTAAAAGTAATAAAAAAGCTGACCAAATCATCAACTATGCATTCAGATGCTTTTTCATGCTTCTCAAAGATTTCAAGACCCTCATATAGTTTAAGTTGTAATGAATGAAAATTGGTACGTATGACTTCTAGCACCTGAAAAAATTATATAAGAAAACCTGTTTATTGTCATTATTTACTAGTTTATTTAAGTCAGTAATCTTTTTTCTCTTGACTTATTAATTTACTACGGTTTAGATTAAATACCAATATAAAACCTCGTCTTCAGAAGGATTTGGAATGCGAGAAATTTTGTTTTGAAAATGATTCACGATTTCCAAAGGATTTTCAAGTTGATTCAGCAACCTAGATATGCTGAAAAATTAGCAGATAAAAGCAGCAAGCAGAAATAAATAAAACATAACCATCCTGCAAATTAGAAAAATCAGTTTGATAGGTTTAAAATCTTTCTGTACTTCTCTTAAATTAGATAGATTTATAATGCTGTGATTGCTTCACTCCCCTAATTAGAAAAAGAAAATGAGAAAGAAGGAATGCAGAAATAAAGTGAATTTAAGAAAATTAAAGAAAGATGGGCGAAAAATCCTTTTCCCCAATTAAATCACGAAGCAAATTTGAAATTCATTTTTAAACTCTTGTTTCTGTGAAGACTTTTCACTTTTACGATGCAAATAGACGTCACATTTACTTTCTTGAAACATTTTAAGAAAAGAACGAGAAATACCAAGAAAAAAACCAATTAAATGATAAGAATGGAAATCATTTAAAAGAATAATAATCACCCTGGTTATCGGATAAAAAGAAAGCAAAGATTCTAAATATTCTAAAAATACATTGATTTTTACGAGATCTTACGACATAAAAAAAAAGCCATATCATAATGATAAATAAACCCCATGGTTTTTCTTTAAATAAAAAAAATAAATAAATAATTAAAAAAATAAATAAATAAACATTTAAATAAATAAAAAAATACGTCATTAAATATTGTTCATTATCCTGATGCTGGTCTCGTATTCGCATAGCTTTGTTCAACACCTTATGAAATACTGATTGCCTGCGTAATATTTCATAACACATATAATCGTATGCAACGTCAGTGGGCAAAAACGTATCACCATAAGTGATGAAAAGATTCAGTATCACCATTATCCGTAAACATAAATAATAAGCTCGAAGACCAAGATAAGAATCGTTTGAAGCCAAAAAATTGAGTAAAGATAGAAGAGCTGAAAAAGGCAGCTCAAAAATAAAATATTGATGGAATTTAAATGTCATTAACTTTTATCGCATTAACGTTTTTCAATAAGCAGAAATAATTACAGAAATGTTTTAATAATAATATCGAGAAATAGAGAAATTGAACCTTCGAATAATGGTTTCCATTTAGCCATACGTATACACATCCTTTTTGCATAAGTTATCATTCGATGAACAACCCCAATCGCTAACCTGAAAATCAATTCGTTGGTCATATGATAACATAAGTAAAATGCATTTAATAGAAACTGGAAAAAACTTTTTCAATTAACAAAAAAACATACTCGTAAAGTTCGAATGGAAAATTTAAGCATACATGACTTATGAAAAATTCGCAAATAATATCACAAATGGCATCAGCTAACGAAAATGAAGTAGGAAATGCAATTAGATCCTCATCCCTGTGGAGCATCTGCGACTGATATAAAGCGACAACTGTATTAGATTCATGATTATAAATAGCACTTGCTAAATTCACGTCATGGATCATAAAAATCAAAATTAATAGTCCCAAAGCACATCGCTTTTTCGTATAGTCACCTAAAAAACTTACAGGGAATAAAACTGGAGATTTTTGCTAGTATGAAGTGAAAATAACAAAAACTTTTCAATTAATCAATTAAAAAATTTCAAAATCCATTTGAATATTTTTCACCATAGCTATCCTCAATTTATTAATTACTATTCAAATTATCAACAAAACTATTATCAATATTTCTTATGAAATATGCGCAATTCGATGAAAGAAAAAGATGATAAAAAACAATTTTGATTGAAATAAAAAAGAAAATGAATAAAGATGATAAAAAAAAATCAATCTTCAAGATTTTTTAAGAATTCACATCAGTAAAGATTCAAAAAGTAATAATCTGATTAAAAAATAACATTTCGTGTCATGGAACACAAATGAACAATAAGTTAATAAGGAAGAAACAATATTGGCGCCACCATCGTTACTATCTTCAGTAAGATTCAACGAAATTTTCTAAATAATAAATTAACTAAATTTACGACATAAATTACAGGAAAAAATACTAAATTCTAAAAATCTAAGAATGAAAATAAAATAAAAATGAAAATAATATTTAAACTTAACCAAAATTTAACCTTCTTAACAGTGTAATATAATCATATAATGAAAAAGAAATCCACTAACATTGAGTAAATAAGGCGAAACATTTCGATTATATCGAATAATATTACCAAGAGCTATTAAATATTCAATTTTTTCATTTTTGCTTATGAATTTTATGTTCGATTTATTGTCACTCAACTGTAATAAGTTGGACACCTAAATATCTTTGAAAAAAATTGGAATTTAAAGAGTAAATTCGAATAAATTTTGAAAGCTATACCATAAGTAATAATATAAATGATCGAAAGAAACAAACAACAGTGAAGTGCATTAAACTAAAAAAATTACATTGTTAAAAAATTACAGTATTAGCGATGGATCCCCATAACGATGAAGATGGATTGTAAATATTAATTTGTGACTGGTAAGCTCTAACGCAATTTATGAGCCATTTATGTATGATTTCACAATAATTCTAAAAAAATCGAAAGCTCAAAAAAAGTGGAAAAAATTGCTATTAATATTAGTATTAAAATCACTCAGATACCAGTCTATCAAAGTATATTAAAGTGTCAACTAATTTTTATCAAAATTGTTAAAATATTAACAGTTGTTAAAATAACAAATAGCAAAAGGAGTCAAAAAATTTTATAAAGAGGTATTTATAAATCTATAAATTTTATAAATTTTATAAAAGGAGTCAAAAATGTTTTTAAAAACAACAAACCTCTAAAAAGTTGTCACGATTTTCCATTGAAAATCGCTTAAAGAATGCGCTTTCTAAGTTGAAATGACAATAATCAATTAGAATGGTAATCAGAAATACTAAAATTACAAAAAAAAGTAAAGGTTGAATGAAAAATTTTAAAAATGAATGAATGAATGAATGATTTTTAAAAAAAAGTCTAACAACTCAAATTTCCAAATTTTACAAGATTACTTTATGGTTAAAAAAATTTCAAGAATATCTAGTTGAAATACTTACGACTTGCTTCCTTTTTATTTGAAATTTGTTCATCATCAATTAAAATGTTAAAAAATAAATCATAAAAATCCACTGATAAGAAATTTTCAACAAAACTTGATACATTGCCGGCACAAAGAACTGATACAAGAAAATTTAATGTAAATCTTGATAAATCATTATCTGTATGGATCAATAAGGCACAACGACTGGCAATATTCTGAAAAGAAAACAAGAAAACGATGGAAGCCAGAATAAATAAGATAAGAAAATAAAATGCATTTAACTATAAAAATTCTCTGATAAAAATTTTTCAAAATTCGAAACGAAAAGAAGCTAACTTAACTGGAAATTTAAAAATAAAATAAAAAGTACACAGTAAAATTAAGTAAGCTTGCCACCAAAGCTAATATAATTCTACGCCATATGGCAAAAATTCAAGAATTTATATTTAGAAAAAAGTAAATATATCTACCTTCGTTACTCGTTGACTGTCTTTTCCTAAAATAAAGATAAATGCATCTAATTTTCGACTTATTAAAGGACAAGTGTGACGAAGAATATCGCATATAGCCTTAAACAAAATTAACATAACTGACTGAAAAAAAGAAATTTTAGTAAATATTGATTTATAAATCTATACCTATAGATATCTTATTTTTCCATCCTTTATATATTTATACAAATGATAAACAAATGATAACCTGCGCAGCGTTAAACATACGAATATTGTCCGAAGCGGCGAAAAATTCACAACATTTTTTGAAAAAAATTTGCAGCAAAACTTTTTTTTTCAAGTATAGATCATTTTCAATCTGAAAAATATTAAAAAAAATTCTACAGAAAGATTTTTCTATAAAGAAAGCATCTCTATTTAAAAAAAATTATAAAAAAATTTTAAGTCTACTAATTGCTATAAAAATATACTTTCGTGATGACAAAAAGAAGCGATTGCGAATTATATCGAAGGGTGAAAAACTGGTACCAATCAACCTCAGAGATATTTTCCTAAATAGAAAAAAAGCTAAGAGAAATTTACAATGATTTTCGGTCATACAAAACTTTACATGTATACAAAAATGTTGGAATAAAATAGCAAATGAACCTCAACGAAAAAGGAATGAAGAAAATAATCCAATTTCGTGACCGACCTCTCCATAATTCAGCGCTCATCGTTCATTTTCAAATAACTATAATCATTTCTTTTTCATTTCTTTTTATATAAATTTGCGGCTTCCTTACAACAAAGTTTACCTAAAATTCAGATTTATAGATTATGGTAATCAAAAAGGACCGAATCCCGAGAAAATGACAATTATTGAAGAAATTTATTTATAAAAATTTTCCTTGCCCAATATATTTTCATCTCGATAACACAACAATGTAAATTTATATACTAATGCAAGAATGCAAATACGATCAAAAAAATTTGATAACCATATATAAATAAGCACTCTGATTTAATAAAATGATGAATAATGATAAACAAAGTAAGTGCAAAAGTTCAAGACAACTGCAAAATACAAAAATGTTTTCTTAATTTTTTTTCATCCATTCTCGATGAAATTCAAAATTAAGATCTTCGAAAGGCAAACGACATGCATCAATAATGACTACTTAGCATTAATTAAATGATCATGTTAAAATTTTTTAAAATTTTATTTACTCATTTATCTGGAATTTATCTAAAATTATTCAAAATAACTTTATAATCGTATAAAAGTTGAATTTGAATAATGTTATACGATAAATTAAAATAAATACGTTGTATCGAAGAAATTTAAGGAGTGCTACAATCAAAATTTCAAATCTATACAGGGATATCATATGATAAACAATTATAGATAGAATGCTTCATCAGATCTCATGATGCAAAAAGTTACAACCATATTTAAAAAATTATTAAACAATGTGGTCTGCAAAACAATCTGAGAGTGAATCCACATTCAACTGCAGTTGTGTTAAAGCTGTCTGCACATAACTTGCTACATAAACTGATGTGCCCTCAAGATTATCATAGAATTTAAAAAATTCCGTATCCATCAGTTTTTTGTAATTTGGCCTCAGATCGGTCTCTTTAATCAAGCTAAAATTTGAAAAAAATTGAATCTGGAATTGAAAAAATTAAAAATAAAAGTTGATCCATGAATGTTTGTTGGATATGAAATTTAGAAAAGAAAAGATTTACTAGATTAACATTTCGCCTTTAAATTGATACAAAACAAAAAAATACCCGGCAATATTAAATTAAATAAGGATATTAAATATTAAATAAGGAATAAATCAATTAAAAAATTACGGAATTACTGGAAAAAAAGCCAAGTCAAAAACAAACCAAGAATTGATGAACTTTACGGTCATAATTGAATATGTATCAGATGGGCCCATTATTGGCGCATCACCGTAAACAACTTGTTCAAGTTGCACGAATAATTCATTTTCATTAAAACGAGGATAGGGAAATCTGCCCAATGCTACCTCTTCCTGCAACAAATTTAAAAATACCTGTACCATAAACTAATGTGGCCTTAAGAATATCACAGAATTTAAATTTAATTCAATTTAATTTAAAATTTAATTTAATTCAATAAAATTTAATTTAAAATTTAAAAAATTTCGTATACAAAGAATAAACCAACAATTTTTCAATTTTTCAACACAACAAAAATTTTGTTAAAAAAAATGAACGACAAAAAAATGTAATTCTCTGAAAAATTTACTAAAGTTATTCCAAGGCTCCAAACATCAGATCGAATATCATAAGCCGCGCTTGTCAGAAGTCGTTCAGGCTACAAAAAAAGATGTTTAAGATATTTTTTACAAGCCAGAAATAAGTATTTCGACATATAATTTATTCCTAAGTCTCTGAATTAGCAATGTATTATTTTCAAATTAATTTATAAAAACGAAAATTCAATAATCCATTAACCGCCATATATGGCCGACAACCTGCTTCGCGAGTTTGAGCGACTGAATTAACAAGATAACCCGATATGCCGAAATCACATAGCTTGATAGCGCCCTTTAAATCCAAAAGAATATTCGACGGTTTCACATCTTAAATAAAAAAAAAATTTTGAGCCATACTATTACTATTTATAAAACCAGTTCCTCATAGACAAAACAGAATTCATGATCATCTCGACAATTTCAACGCACCTCTATGAATAATTTGGATTTCATTCTTTAAATGATTAAGAGCCTTTAATACCTGAAAGTATTTCAATCATTAACGTTTGATGAATACGAGTAATATTTAAAACTTTTAAAACATCATTGAAAATTTTTCTTATAATGAAATTTTCATATTAATTGAAAAAAAATGTAATAGTTAAAGAATCGAAAGAATGTAAAAGTAAGATTTTTTTCCATCAAAAAAAGCCGCGCAAATGATATTTAATCAATTTATTAAGAATCTACCGATACTGCAACATGTCCCAGTATTCTTTCATCAAATACACCAAACAAATTATGCACAGTGTGGTAAAGTTTTTCCAATGATATGTCCATCAATTCCATACAAACCAAACAATCTCCCTAAAAAATAAAAAAATGACAACGGTATTAATGTAAAATAAAATACTATAAAATCACTTATAATGATTTGATGAGCAGTAATCGATAGCAGAAACTGCAAATATAATTGCTTACACAGAAAAAATAACCTCATGAAAAGTTAGTCCATAGAAACGAACTATTTGAGGGCAATCTGAAGCTCTATTAATGGCGTCAATTTCAAGACGAAGCCGTTGTAAGGAACGATTCGTTTCACCATCATCACATTTACCCGATATAATCCGAACTTTCTGAAAAAAATTATGAAAAATATTGAAAAATATATGAAGTTCACTAAAAATAACTTTACATTTTCATAAAGCAAAACTAAAATATTAAAAACCTACCTTAACAGCCATCAGTCTTCCCGTTCCATTATGCCTCATTTTATTAACATGACCATAGGCACCCTCACCAATCGGCCCAATATCAGTTAAGTCCTGTAATTAATCCTGGTCATTTTCAATAATTTCGAAACAGTCTACGACAGTCGCTTGAAAAAAATCCATTGACTCCAACATATTTATATTTTTCTCAATAATTTAATATTATTAATTTTGTTATTGTAATATTATTATTTAATATAAAATAGACTAAAGAGAATGTTCGAAAAATCGTAATGGGCACTACCAAAAATTAAACCGTGATTATAAAAATTAATAGCAATATATCGAACTTCAAAGCCAAAACCAAATTCTCTCGATTCATCTGGAAATGATAACTTATCAGAAATAAACATCCGAATAAAACTCCTGAAATGAAATAAATTAGCTACAACCATTTTGAATTTTTTAAACAAATGTAAATGAACATTTAATATCGAAAACTAACAAATTGGATATATTCTCGATATCTTTTGTTCCTTCAGGAACCAACTGAACATCACATACTTTTGTGTCGCCTATATTACAATTCCTTGACTGCAGAATCCCTTGTAGAGAACCTGAGAACATTATCAAAAAATTTTGTTATTTATTTCAGCGAAAACTGAAATACAAAATAAATCTCAGCATAAATCAACAAGTTCTAATTATTGATAATATTTGGAGATAATATTTAAGCTAAGCCATTCAGTGGCGAAGGAGATGTTTCTTTCAAATTTTCTTATATAGGTTTTATAAATCGGTTTCAAAAATAATATATTATAAAGACAAATTAAAAAGTATCTTATTAACAAATTTTTGGTTAAAATATAATACCAGTAAATTAATAAAACAAAAAAAAATCTATGTTTTTTATTGCAAAATAACATTTAACCTAAAATCACAAAAAACAATTTAAAAATAAAGCTATAAAACGAAATAAAAAATGATAATATTTGAAAGGATTCTTTATTATTTTATAAATTATAGATTTTCAAACCATATTTTAATATGGGTATAGTATAAAAGGCACTAAATCCAGTAAAAAGAAAAGATCGCAGAAAAATCAATCAAAATAAAAAAAGAAAACTCTGCAAAACAATTTAATATAAAAAGAGATTGTCAATAAAAATAAAATAAAAAGAAAAAAGTTCAATCATATATTAAAATGGAAAAATTATTCATAAGTTTCACAAAAATATTCTTGAAAAATTTTTAAAAATCCTCGAAGAATATGAAAAAATAATTTTTCAAGCTTGATGATTAAATAAAAAGGATTTGTAAATATTTACACCTGAATAAATGCATACAGTAAGATAATAAAGCAAATATTTCAGTTACACAGAAGATCAAAAAAATATTTGATCATTTAATTATGAGAAGAATTTAAAAATAATTCTCTCGCTTCATGCACACTTTCAATAGCTTCATTTAATAAAACTTGATTTGCAATGCTCATCGAATGGTTAACATCGAGAGTAAAATGCAATATTTCTCGAGCACACTCAAAATAATGTTTGGCACGATGAGGACTTCCATTTCTGAAAGATAGAAAAGAAAGATAGAAACTAAATTAATGAAAATTTAAAATATCTTAGCAATACCTTAACAAAAAATTGAAATTTTTGAAAAATTTAAACCTTAGATAAAATATCGCAATATTTCTTAAATGTAAAGCCAAAGTAGGATGATTGGCGGGATAACAAAATCTGATGCAAGCTTCTGAATCTAAATGGAGTTCCAAAAGCAATTTATAATTCGATGGATTAACCAAAGGAATCATGAACTGAAATAGAAAAAGTTCGAGCAGACTATGAAAAATTAAATTAAAAATAAATCAGTACCATCTCTTCAAGTTAAAATAAGTAGAATATAAGCGTAGAATGAAGGAAAACAGCTACCTGAATAATCTTACAATAATAAATATTAATATTCGGTAATACTTTGCCCGAACGATTTCGAAGTTCAGTTAAAAAAGACAACCGCTGATTCGACGCAATCTATATTTTCGTATTTCAAATCATAGCTCTATCAAAATGCATAGAAAATCGTTGATTGAAAAAATGATGGAAATTTGATTACCACACTGAGAGAAACAAAATAGGCCAGTGGAGAGCTGCTCGATTATGGCATTGAAAGACAAAATTCCTCCCGAAAAGGACCAAACTCATCTTCATAAAATTTGAGAAAACCCATCTGCACAAGCGGAGCTAGTCGCTAATAGTTAACCACAAAATAAGAAAATTAAATTCATTTTGCATTTGGAATTAGAAAAAAAATTTCTAAAACAAAATTGAATCAAAAACCTGCTCAATTTCATTATTTTCGATGATCCCATTTATAAAACGCATAGTTTCGACAGCTTCAATTATTTTCTCACGAGGAACTTGCTCATGACATTCTGGACAAGTTATAATAAGTGTGATTTGATCTTTATATGGGACTTTACCAAAAATTTGCAAGGGCTTTGGTTTCTAAAACCACTATTCTTTAAAAAAAGACAATAAAATGGAACCAATTTTTAACCAAATCATAAAAAATAATTGTGTTACTCATCTCAATTTAAAATTGAAAAATTAGTTTATAACAGACTTATTTGCCTTATTGGAACTAGACAAAAATCGAATTCAAGAAGCATTATCTAATGATACTTATAGAAAGCAATGAGCAAATTAGATTAAAAGTAAAAATAATCGTACTCTATAAAACAAAATACTAATATTTTAAATTGAACCTCATAAGCAATGCTGAATCTGTCCATCTGTTACGAAATTGCGCATAATTTTCATCAAATTAATTTGAGAAAAAAATTGTTAACTTCGAAAATTATGGACAAATAAAGTTATAATTTCTGTTGAAAAATTATAGTTATAGATTCAATAAATTTAGATTAATAAATTTTTAGATAAACAAAAAAAAAGATAAAAATGAATTACAAATAGAATGGCACCACCGATTATCGATTTGCTAATAAAGTTAGAATTTGGATCACTAAATCGGCAGTATTTCTTATGCCATTAGATGTCCAAACGTGTCTCAATATTCTTCACCTTCGATTAGAAACAAATTTGTTTACTATTTTGACTTTACTTTGTCCTAAATCCGTTTTAGAGTAGATATTCTATTTACTTTTAATTATTTTGTTTTTTATTTGTTATTTGTTTTTATCCCCTTCTTAATACCTTACTCTCTTGTGAGATCCTCACTGCAGGCTCCGCCATCAAATATTTAAATAATATATCGACGGTGGAAATAGTCCCAAATTGTTGGATTTGGCAACAAATAAATAAGATTTAGTTTTTTTTTTATAATAGATGAGGTGCATGTAATGAGTTGTCAGGGTTTATATCATGTAAATAGTTAATTTTTAACTTCTTTTTGACCTCTAACTGCTTTTAACCTCTACATCATCGGTTTAAGTATTCAAGTTGCATAAACTCGTTTATTCACGTTCGTAGAGTAAATCGTGTAAGTACTGCGTGGTAGATATTTTCGATACATAAAGTGGGAGCAAGAATGTGCAGCTATCTCCAAAACTTTATGGCGAGTAGTTGTTCTCATCTCGCGATTCATCTGAGATTCTATTCTAGGCAGAAACAAACCTGTCTTTCAAAAATCCAAGTGACTAACTCCAACTCACCTATACTTCTATCGTCAAGTGACTCTTTGGCAAAATTTATCTAAGCCAGCGAAACGAACCTAAGAAATGGGTACTCTTTAAAAGAAAAAAAAAATCGAACGCATATGCATAATCGAATGCAGAAGATCCCCAAAAGTATAGAATTTAGATTATGCCATGCTATCGTAATTTTTACTTACCTCACAATTCGGACAAAGCATGGACGACAACAGACCTTCATTTTCATCAGTGCATCTTGAACATTCACAATTAAAGTACCATGTATCTTTTAATAATCTTCTACGTTCTTGAGTGGTACTGAAGAAAATGTGATAAAAATGTGATGTCATGTCACTATGAAAAATATTTGCTAAAGGCACTATCAAAAAATGTCGAAAAATTTTTAACGAAAAATGAGAAAAGATTTCCTTAGAAAATTAAACCAAATCAGCGTTACAATTTACTTTAGCAAATCTATGTAAGTATAAAACGTAGAGCTCCGATCCAATAAATTTGTGCTTAAATCAAGACTTCGTAACGTAGCCACGAAACCCTTACATGTGTAAATTGAATTGGGACGACAGCTATGGTTATACGCGCATAAATCCAAATATAATCCCTTTCCAATTTCCTGAATATTTTTACCATATCGCAAATAAGCAAAAATTGCTTTTAAGCAAAAATTGAAAATTTCAATTTAAAAAAAAATATTCGAAAATCTTAATGACGCTATGAAATAATAAAAATGGACTTCAAAAAATTTTCACAAAAAATTTTCAAAATTACCCGCAAAAATGCCTCGTCACTAATTGCATGCCGATTAATGAAATTACGGCAATGTAATTCAAATACTTCATCTTCATCAGGAATATTTCTGGCGCCGTAAAAATCAATTACTTTATTGAAAATGCCTAAAATTAAAATTTGGAAAAGTCAATGCGAACAATCTCATAGCAAATAGCTGGAAACATACGATTAAATTTTTTCATCGCCGTATAATCCTTTCGCATTTGATCCGTATGTGCACAAATTTCCATTATTGATCTTTGAGAAGTCCGATCAACGTAAAAGTTTTGATCCTTTTTATCCTTACCGAGTTTAATAGCCTAAAGGAATATTTTTATAATAAAAGTGGAATGCCATTTTACCATTCATCACAAACAAAAGACAAGTTTTATATATTTTAAAACTTATGCAAAAATTAATAAAAAGTTTGGAAGAAAATTATTCAAGGAAAGGGAAATGAAAAAGTAAAGAAGAAACCTCGTAACGAATAATGATTCGACCAAGTAAGCGAGTTTCAATATCAGGAATACCACAACTTTTTTTCAAAGCTCTACATTCAATTCTGTGATCTTTCCAACCAAGACTTTGACATTTCTCATCACAAAACATTCCGCAACTACATCCAGTACAACGCCTTAAGAAAATGACTAATTATCGTAAATATAAAATATAACATAACAAAAAGACAGGCAAAAATTTAAAAAACATGGGTCTTTTATTTTTAACAAAATGATAAAATGATAAGACAACTGGAAATTACCATAAGAAAAGAAATAATAATTTACAACAAGAAAAGCCATTCAAAAAAATTTAGATTTCAATCTTAAAAAATCTAAAATGAACAAAAATTGCAAAAATAAAAACAAAAACAATGCCTAAGGCTTCTTGACTCAGCTAGACAATACCAACAATGATCACATAATTCGCTGTTGTGCAGTGCATAGGCAAATGGATAAAATGTGAGTCGAGATTTGAAACTTTTCGTCGAATTCGCAGAATTATTATCAGATTTGTCTTTCTGATATGAGCCGATATCAATCTGAATTCTTTCACCACTGACACTCTCATAACCTCAAAAAATTTTAGAAAACTAAAGAACAAATTTATAATAAATTGAATTGTGTTTGATTCCTTCGAAAAAAGAAATTTTGAGGAAAATTTTTTTAAATTTTCGATCATATTTGTTATAAATTCCTCAAATTTATATTCTCATTATATTATATATTACATTTATGTTTATATTTTATATTTTTATAAATTTAAATTCGATTTAAAGTTTATAATCATCGAAAAAAACTGAAACGAGAAAATTAAAATTAAAGCTTTGCACAGATTTAGGAAAAGAAGGAAATTTAATTAAATAAATACTATTTTAAAAATTTAAAATTTAAAAGTACCATAAATATGAAAAAAATTCAAGAACAAAAGAATTAAACAAAAATAATGCATTAATAGAATGAAATGAATCGGGTCATCAAAAATGCCATTAAAACCTGATTGTCGCTTTTCGAAATTTCGTGGCCAGTTGGGAAATCCAGTTGCAGGCTACTCGCGTCGACTGGACCACCTTGCATCGCTAAAGTACATCCACTACCTTTCGCCGTTCGCTTCTTTTTTCCACCCATTTGAGCCGATAAAAGTTTAAATTCATTGTAACAAAAATCCTTTAATAATCCGTTGCAGTTATATATTATGGGCGGACCTTGGCCATTGAAAATTTTGATCATTATCAACCATCACTTATTGCTAAGTAATATGCAGCTGAGGCTGGTTAGAAAGGGAGAGGGGTCAAAGTAAGAATGAAATGGATTATGCATTAAATTATTAATAAATTACTATAAGAAATGAGAATGAGCCGTTATTGACTAGATGAGGTTAATGCCAATAAAGTGTTGATTTAAAAATGGCACAGCGGGTTATTCCTAGCGGGGCAATACCATAGAATGGGGAAAGGGTCATAGGTCGCAAATATGTATGGAACATATTGGCTGCTAAATGCTGTAATATAACCGTTATATTTAGGGCAAAAAAGTCAAAATTATTTACGAGGACTACGGTAATTTATTGTCGATTTCTATGAATTTGCGCAACAAGGCTGAAAGAAAAGGAAAATGATGAGGAAGCATTAATTTCCATGGAATTGCCGTGGTTTCGCACACACTGTAATGTCAATGCAAAGTATAAAATTATATATATATTTCATAAAAGCATTTGGATTGCCTTCGTAGCATTTTTAAAATTTCGTTTTAAGTAGTTTAAAAATCATCCTGGAATTGCTTTCTCAGTTTCTGTGGTGATATGATCTGATTCTTTTTAGAAAGAATTCTAAGATGCGCCATTGTTGGCTGGGCTCGCTCCACTGGCTCGTCAGGCAAATTTTGCCAGAGAAATACTTAGTAATAGGAATAGGTTCAGGACTTGAGAGCAACAACCCATTGAGCTGTTCTACTACAGATGATATGACGTTTATTTGGTAGATAATATTTAGGAAAAGTAAATGTAATTACTTTTCCTAAATATTATCTATCAAATGTACTTAGCACCTAATTCTCTTAGTATAGTATATTTTAGTCCATTGGAGTTGATTTAAGATTACTAAATATTAGTGGAAAGCTGAAAAATCTAACTTAAAATATTAGGGATGTAAATTTAAAAAATAACTTATTCAAAAGTATCGTCATGCCAAGGAAATTTTTCTATACTATAATAGCATATTTTTTCCCATATAATTATAGATGAAGATGTAATATAAACGTGATTTAATATAAACTATCACTTACTGGTTAGGATGGTTCCATTAGCTAAAAGCATTATAAAAAATATCTGAAAGACGATTCTGCCAAAATTATAAGTTGATAATGCCGAATTCGATTAAATGTTCAATTTGGATTAAAAATGTGGTACAAATCAGTCTCGCAAAGTCGAAATCAAGGCCAAGGATTAAAGTACCATCATAATGAAATCCATGTGGTGTTAATTAATTAATTAATTAGTCAGAAATGGTGAGTGTTGTCAGAAGAGGGCTAATACTAAGCCTATTCGCTGCATTATTTCTAAGCATTATGTAATAGTTGCCTGCAATCGACTTTTTCATAAATCGATCGTTCCAATTAGATCTAATAACTCTGAAAAGGAACTTTATGTTTATAACAAATGAACTACCAATCACCAAGAAATATTGTAATTTTAAGGATGATCATAGATGCAGTTATTATCATTTATTACTCATTTGCAGGTATTCCTTTTTTTTGCTTCTATAATAAATGCAATTTTAATTTGCATAAAAATGACTAATGACTATGTTTTGATATAAATGAGACGTAGAAATTATTTATGAATCTAAAGTTTTTTTCTAAAAATATTGTTTAAGAATTTGCTCTTTGCAAATGTCCGTGTAATGGAGAGATACTGATTATAAACAAAGCAAAACACTGCTTCGAAATTATCGATCCTCCAAAGTACTCATGGATAGAAGCGGATCATATATGTAACAAACGCGGTGGTCATCTTGCTCATATAAATTCGCATGATGATTATTCAAAAATTGTGGCATTTCTCAAAAAAGGAAGTTTGTTCAATTAATTTTATTCTTGCCCTCTGGAAAATTAGGTCATTTATTTCAATTATTGCAATCAAGCAATCAAAATCCTTGAATTCAAGATTTTAAAGGCCAAGAAATGTTGAAATGTTGAAATATCGTGAAATATAATAATAATATTAATAAACCTTTCAGAAATATTCAAAACCAGTAATGGTTGGTTATACGGTTGGTAATATCCATAGTCGTATCCTTGCAACTTTATGCCAAAAGAATAATTTTTATTCGTTGACTCAAAGTGATATTTATACGCTTGTTGAAAAGGTCGTCATGATAGACAAACTCTTTTCGTTTAGAATCCCACAGTAATCGAAAGCTGAAAAACCTTATGAAACTGAAGATAAAAAATTAAAAAAACTATGTATTAGTCAACTATACACAAATTCTTCTTCTAAGAGCTTTTTGATTTGCTAAATACATTGGCAAAGAAAGTGGTATTCTTTAAGCATAAAATTATTTGGGGATAAAAGTACGGGGAAGGGGGGGGACGCCAGTCGGAATTATTTGTATAAAATAATTTAATTCCTTCCATCCAAAGCTATCCAAAAAATCGTTGAACGGCTGGAATTTGGAATCACGTTAATTATATTTTGTGCAAAAATTTCTTTATGTTTACTCTCCAGATTTCTTATATTATTTTGTATTATTTTATTATAGAGAATACAATTTCACTATGCGGGAAATAAAGCTAAAAGCATTATGCTATTACCATTAGAAAGAATTAAGTCTTCCTATTTAATTCCTATTTAACTTACAATCTTTTTATGCTAATTTTAATAATTTTAATTTTAATTTTAACTTACTTTTATGCTTTTAATTTAAATTTCATGTGATTTCTTCAAAAATTAATTATTTTGTAGAATTCATTTTCAAAAGGCTATTGTTTGTTCTTTGAAAAAAGTGATTTTAAATTATATTATGGCCAATGCGACCGAGAATCCCAGGCACTTTGTGATTTACGTACGTGTGCATTATTTTTTTGAATTTGATAGCCACCGTCTACTTCACGTTTTGCTTGAGATCAAGCATTTTATTTCTCTCATATATATGTATGAATAAAATGCTTGTGGGTTTATGGCCAACTGTGACATTCATTGGCCTACATTTTTTATTCTCTTCTATTGCTAAACTATAAATTATATCTTAAAGTGCGTAAAACTATGTTAATTATCGGGGAATTTTGCAGATTTTATCTAATCAATGGCTTCTAATTATTTCCTCAGCTCCTAAAGTTCACAATGCTCCACATTCCAGCAAAAAAAAGTCCCATTTATTATTCAAGGGAACAAGCTCAAGGATGGAATGTAGTGCTAATTTCATTTAGCTCTTTACTCCAATTTTAACTATGGATCTCAATTTCTAGAAGAGAACATGAAAATTTTCAGCTATTTTTTTCGTATCTCGTTTTCTTTAGCAGTGGCTCTGTTCGAAAATATAAAGTCTTCTTGATTTTCCAATGCAAGTTTGAAAAATAAAACCTGTAGCTGTCTGCCCATCCTCAATCTGCTGCCATAGTTTTCAGCTACATAAAGTGGGACAGTTTTGCATAGCTTAAGAATGAGAACTGGTTCGCAGACTGCGAGGCTCTAAAAAATATCTTGGTCCGCCAGAAATAGATATACTTCAGGTTATGTATTACTAACTTGATGGATTCAGTAATTTTTATGAATATTTATAGCGTATGAACCGGATTATTGTAATGCACGATTCACCTGCGTTTCTACGACTATAAAATGGAATTCGTCAACAATTTATTCCATTCTTCCAAGAGTGGCAGTAAATACGAAAATATGGTTTATAAATGCACCGATGTATAAAATTGTTTGATTTTTGATTTTTTGATTTTTTAAAAGTTAAAACAGTATTTCTGCTTTTAGCTCACTTCTCAAGAATTTTGCAAGATTGTTAATCAAACTTAAGATAAAACGCAGTCCGAACATTTTATGCAATATTAATCTTCTAAGAGGATCAAATATCTCTAGTTTGGCTGGCTCGAATATTTGACTGAAATTTTTGCACCAGAGCCAAATCATAACGCGATAGAAATGCAAATCGATCATCAGCGCAACTCATGTTTTGCTATTAATTGCAGGTTTACTCCAGTTGAAAGAGGTTAATGATAAAATCACTTGGTTGTAGAAGAAGGGGCATTTAGTTCGACCATCTTGCATCTTATAAGATTAATCATAAAATCATAATGCCGCCAAATGAAATAGTAACTTCACCGATGACAGTTTAAGATTGATCACTTATTTCAGAGATAAATCGAAGACTGAGGTAAATTCGTCCTTAGAATTAAATCATTTCAACTATGAGAACTCAACAGCATCTAGCCTCGCCCTTCTCACGCCAATAATTAAAACACCCTTTGAAAGAAACAAGAAACAGAAACACCCTCAAATGCGACGTTTATTTTTCCCTCTTTTCGATTCATCCACTGATTTAACGGGACCTCGATCAAATTTAGATCGACCATTTTCCAATCTCGCAATCAGTGCATCTTCCAAACATGCATTTCGAGTTCAAGGAAATTTCACTATCCAAGCATCGGCCAAAACGTCAACTGATTCGACGTTAAATCTTAGCAATGGAAATTCATCGCTTGGTAAGAATTTCATTGATCATTTTATCTTTTTTTAATTTAGCTTTTTTTCGTTCTATTGAGATAAACTTCATCAGGCAAATTTAGGAGATAGAAGTATAGATAAGTCGCCAATTTCGCCGGATTTCGCTTTTAATGACAAATTTTCTCACAATAAGGAAACATGTTTTTGGGTATTTATTAATATAATACGTGCATCTGAGGCAATGGGTATGAAAACTTTAAAACATTAAATGATGATAAAAGATCATGAAGATCATAAAATCTAAGATATATATATATAATTTGTATTATATCGCGAGAATACCTTAGTGGTTAAGGCAGTTACCGTAGAAAAAAGAGTTACATCCTCCATACTAAATCAATAATAACACCTATCATTCAATGCTTCAACATCCATGCCATAAATATATATATCCTACCAGTCATTAGGTATACAGCTGGCATAGAAAGATGAAATCCACAGCCACTGTCCTGAATCAAACCGAAAGATTCAGGAATACATCAGCAACGCCACCAAAGAATGAGCTGCGATACTTGAAGTACCTACAAATATTGGAAAAAGACTAAGCAAAGGAAATATCATGGAAGGCAAGATCCTCCATGGGTTAAACCATCGAGAGGTGTTGAAAAATCCTACAAGTGTTTGGAAAAAATAGGCAAATTAACACTGACTAATCAAGACATCAGTGTAGATAAGAATCAGAAATCAGCACGGTGATAGATATAGCAATACAAATTTTTTTGGCAAGAATTTGGAAGGAGAAATATGAGATGTTAGACTGGTAAATACCAATGGGTAAAGAGGAGCTAGAGATGTGGAAAGTGAAGGCCAAAGTAGTCCCAATAGTAATTGGAATACTATATACTATGACCAGTAAACTAGAAAAGCGGCTTTAACGGATTTCAAGAACAACATCAGAGATCTCTGGTCAGAAGAGTGCACTGCTAGGAATAGAAATTGACTAAATTTTTGCGAATGATCACTATTTTAAAAAAATTTTATCAAAAAAGGATTAACTCAGATTATTTCTTCTTTTTTCTCATAATAATTAGCATTTCAGTTTTATAAGTCTACCAGTTATCGGAAACAAACTTTGTACAAGTCATAAATGGAGGTAGATTCTTACATTAGGATTTTTTGCAGTTTCTATTGCAGTTTCTTCAAACAAAATTATTCCTTTTTCTCCGTGCATCATGATAATGGGATTAATATGATTGCAAATACAACGATAAAATGTAAGTTGAAAGTAGAAAAATTTGTAGGAAAAATCCAGGTGAATGGTTGTGCAGTAAATAATCGCATTCCTTGGTGGATATTTTTAATCATTGTTCTGTGTCTAATAATGCTCCTTCTTCTTCTTTGCTGTATTGCTTGGATACTTCATTGCTTTTGTAAATTATGGATTTATCACTGGTAAATTTGTGAAATTATAAATGAATTTTTAGTGGTATATAAGGTAAATACATATTTTTTTTAGTAAAAGGACTCGAGTAAGCATGGTGAACAAAGAAAATCAAACTGAATTGGAACGGAACGGTTGGATTTCTTTCTTATCCAATCATTAACTGATAATTAATAACCTAGTAGCAAGAAATAAAATAGTAATTCTATGAGCTAAAATAATAAGGTAACATATGAACCCTTTAAGTACAATATTTTCTGAAATGATTTGAATGAACTAGTTTTTATAGAATTTTCTTAAATGGAAATTCCTATTTCGCTCAGTAGATAAATCCGCAGTCTTATTTTTCCAGAAATAAAATATATTTGCAAGTCAAATATTTTATGCATATTCATTATTTTTATAATATTAATCTATGGAAATTACATACATATACATATTAAGATGAAATTATCATCGTCAATGGATTTGCCATATATGATAACTTTGATTGCAACGATCATGTGCTGGTGCCTGCTGTATCGCCAACTCTTGAAGAACCTATCTTTGTAATGAATGAAGGAAAAGCCAAAGAGCAAAGTCAAAAAAAATGGAAAAAAGAAGAGGAAATAATGATAACATATGTCGAGGACGGAACATCGAATCTACCATTTGTCTTACAGGATAAACATGGAAAATCTTTGGAAGAAACGTCGTCATTAAAAAAAGAAGAGAGCGAATCCATTACAATTTCTCCACTGAAAATTGACAGTACTGCGATCACAAGTTCATTAAATTTAATAAATTTAGAAATGAATTAAAATTAAATTTTTATATTCGCGAAATTTTATATAAATAAGTTATTTTTCAGTCAATTCCTTTGAAAAGAAGAATACAATTTTACCGAAAAAAGACGACGTGTAAGCAAATTAAGACTCATTTTTAAAAAGAAATGCGTGGGCGAAAGAGAATTGCCATCTTTTCAATAGTTCTTATTAACTTCGAAAAAAAAACGACTAAATTAAAGTCTGAACAAAAAAATCATTTCAATGATCGCCAGGTTTTTAATTTTCAGGCAATCGAAATTGCAATCCAGCACCAGGATAGAAAAGCTGTGTGGTAACGCGCTTCCTTCACGCCAGACTTCTCGTTGCGGCTTTTCAGACATTTCCAAATTATGCATTTCCAAATTAACGAACTTTTTACTTGATTCTATGAAATTATTATCTAAATAACTTTCAAATAAAAAAGTAATATGAATTAATTAGTAGGAAAGTTTACGATTGTTTCAAAATTTCAGTTCAAAAAAATGTGTTTAAATTTATAAAAAAGAAACTTCTATATCCGATTTTAACCCTTTTTCTTTTTAGCTTATTAGTTTATTGGTCAATTTTTTGCATGGGATTAAATTTTTGGAGCTGTTTGCATAAATTTATGAAGCTCATCTTGCAGATTTCTCGTCATTTTTTACCGATGAGCAAAGAATCCAGAAAAATCCGACCAAAATCCTCAAGTCCGATAAAGATAATTGCGCTAAACGCTGGTCCGTCAAAGCATCGAGCAACTATTCAAAAATTTCCTACAGAGCCAAAAAATGATTTTCAATCAGTTGATGAGCCAAAAATGCAACCTCCTTCGAAGCCGATTACTTTTCTAAAAAATTCCAAAGGAATTTATGGAGGAGTAAGTTCTTCAAAAATTTCTTTGTTAAATCGGCGATAATAGTATATTATAAATTTTCAATAAAACTTAGCAATTTTGAATAATTGGGAAGCAGATATTTTGTCGAGATTGATTTCTGAAATCTCACTGGCTGATTAGACAAGCTAAGCAAAAGCATTTCACTCATATCATTTTTCAAGTCGAATAATAATAAATTGTATAGTTTTTTTGATAAGAGTTCACGCAATTTTCCATTCTTTGTTCATCTTGCACTGCACCTTGCGCTTTGGCTTTTTTAAATTATAATTTAAAAAACAATATAATTATATAATTATAACAATATAATTATAACAATATAATCATAATTATATAAAATTATATGCAAGCGAAGCAAATTTATTTAATCATAATTCAGGTGGTCGGTGCTTATAATCATGAAGCAATCGGTTGGAGACCTTGGGCTAAATCATCGAATACATTTTCAAATTATCAAACTTTCTTAAATTCTGACTAATATATGATTCAATAGGATTCGAAATTGATTTGATTTTGAATAAAGTTTTATTTAGAGAAGGATTAATTATGGAACAAATTATCATGAAACATGGAGCAATCAAAAACCAAAAAAAATTTAGAAAAATTAAATAAAAAAATGTATTTCTTTTTCTTAAAAAACTGCTTTTGTAATATAAGTAGAAAAGATAATGAGAAATAAAAAAATCCACTAAACTCAGTGCTCATTGATGTGATAAATATATAGAATATACAGTCGCAAAAAATTCTACTTACCTAATTTTTCGATATATATTTCGGTAATTTATTTTGACTGAATAATTGACTGCTGTTAATTAATTGATTGAGAATCACTGATATCTGTAGTAACTAAAGCTATCAAAATACTTTTCGATTTGAATTCTTCAAATCATTGTCATCGTCTTCCATATCGCACCTTCAGTAAATGTACTCTTTGTTTGGTAATTAATCGCATAACCGCGACATCTTTTCGCTTATTTTTTTAATTAATTTTTTTTATTTAAAACTGAGATATTTTTTGATTTGGTCGACTGTGTTCTTGAGATTTTTTTTAGTACTATAATCATATAATTTTCATATATTCCAACTGAAATATTTTTTCAGGTTGTTTATGAAAAATTTTTTTAATCCTCGAATTAAAAAAATTTGAAATTCTCGAAATAATTTTGAAAAAATAGTACATTATAGGCATAAAAGCAGACTAAAGTATGAAACAAAAAACCAATCGACCAACGAAAGTTCTCAAATTTCTTATTATTCTAGTAAAATGAATAAAATTTTTTTGTCGTTCTGAAGTTCAAGCAATTAAATAAACCTTTAAATTTTTTAAAATAACATGAATTTCTGCTTTTCAATAGCAATAATTTATTAAATAGAAATATTTCAATGATGGAACATGGAATATTCAATGATGGAATATTTTTAAAATAGAAATCATCAAAAATAGAAATATATTTTTAGGAAACTAATTAATTTCTATTTTTTTATTTCTATTGAATTTACTGTATATGAACTTTACTATGATTTAAGAATTTGTAGAAGAACAAGATATAATGCCACAGTTATCGAGGAATCAAACTATCTCTACTAAATATCTCCGGAAAAATTTTCTCTTCTACTTCTCTTCTACTGAATGGACTTATGGTAGTACGAGACAGCAACTTCTTCTTCTTCTAAGATCCTCACCATTATTGGTTAGGCTGGCTCCAACGGCTACAAGGATAAGACGCTTTCAAGCAGCACGGTTTGATGCCATCGACAGTAATAGAAGTCATTCCTTTTTCCATCATCTAAGTCCATATATTGCTGGTCCACTTATACTTTCAAAACTTTCCTGACCGTATCAGTCCGGATCTTGATTGGACCACCTCGCTTTTGACACCATCCATCACACGGTTTAGCAAGTAACGGAATATGCAATAATTCTTGTGGTGAAGGACGAAGAACGTGCCCTAACCATCGAAGGCAACACTCTGTAATAACATTGTTAATGCAAATGGTATTTGAACGAAGATGGATGCGATCTTGTGATATTTTATCCGCTCGACGGATTCGTAATATGTACCTTAGAGTGGTCAAAGGCATAACTTCGTAGTATTCTCCACTCTCATTGGCCATGTCTCAGAATCATATAGCAAGATCGAAGTGATCACGGTTATATAGGTACAAACTTTCGTTTTAATGGTAATTTCACGACTGCTCCATAAAGACTCTCGTCTCCTGAAGAACATTTCTAGCTGCCGTGATCCGGGCTATAATATCGTCTTTTCCCTAGCCATTTGGTATTAGAGTGGACCCAAGGTATTTAAAATCAGGCACTTCGTCAACCGGCAATGAATTTACAAAATGAGACATTTTATCACCTTCTTGAACACAAAATATGAAAAGGCTTTCATTTTGAGTATATTGATCTTAAATCCTATTCTGGCTGCAGTTTCTGACAAGTTATTTAGATCGACTTGCATTTCATCATAAATGTCAGCAAAAAGGACTACATCATCAGCGTATTCAAAATACGATGATACTATGCTCTGGACTGATTTAACATCTCTTGAGTGCAGACAAACGATGCCCATAATCCAGTCTAATGCACATTGAATAAGGGAAAAGACGCAGCCTTAATGGACAGCAGTTCTTATTTCGAAACAACCTATCAGTTCCCCATACACACAAACCTACGTCGACCTACGTTCATAAAATGCCTTTATGAGTCGAATGATCTTTTCTGGAACATCGTCGCAACACCCTCCACAATTTATCAATTGAATCAAAAGCAGCCGCAAAGTCGATGAAACACATGACGGTGGATGGCAGATATCTGAAGTGATATCCAACACCCTTCTGAACATGAACATGAACATGAATATTAGCTTTAAGCTTACGGATAACAGATATTATTTCTTCCTCTATCGTGGGCTCGCATTTACAAGCATAATGGTTCAGCGAATGTACCAGTTATATCAGAGGCAACAGATGGCGCTTCATGGTTAAGTTTGGCTTCAAAGAATTCTTTCCATCTTATGACGTGTCGTTAATACTCTTGACTTGTACTTCACTGCTGTCTCTTACCATTTCACTGATCATTCCCCGAGTGATAGTTATGAAGAAGGCAGAATAGTTTCCTATTGTCACCTAATCGAGCCGCCGCCTCCATTCTTGAGGCCATGTCATTCCAATAGTGATTTCTCGCATTGCTGCTTTCGTTGCAAATTTTTAAAGCACCCGGTAGTCAGGATCACCTGAAATTCTTGCTTTGGCAGTTTTTTTAGACAATTGGACAATTGCTTCAGATACCCAACTAGCTCACTTCCTACTAGACATTAGTGTGGAAGTGACTTTCGAAGACATCATTTTAGTTTGGACCAGTATTCATTTTGCGTTCCAGAAAAATCATTAATATTTATACCATTGAGATTCTTCAATAATTCAGTTTAAAATGCACTCACTGTGTCCGAATTTTTTAGTTTGAGATAGTTTAAGGATCTTGGTGATATTTTCTGTGAGTTGTCAATTTTATGCGGATTTTGGCTCGAACCATAACATGGTCCATGAAGATTGCCTGTTTCAGCTCTATGACAGAAACCACTACCTAGTAAGGAACTCTTCCAATGAAGAGTGACTAAAATATAAGCAACCTGGTTAATGTATTGGCTATCCGGAGAGTTCTACATGATTAGATTTTTTCTACGATGCCGAAAGCAAGTATTAGTAACAAGAAGTTCATGCTCTTCGGCATAATAAAAAAAACTTTCCCCATTGGCGCACCGGTCTTCGATGCCCTATTTGCCAACTGTAGAGGTCATCGCAACGGCATTATTATCTACGAGCTCATTCCATCTTCCCCCGATAATAACCAGTTATGTTCCCCCGATGTTATGTTTTAATAGAGACTTTGTTGCAGTTGAAGTTCCACATAGAACTTATCCTTGTCATCTTCCGACAAAATTGGAGCATAGACACTGATGACCGACATTGCAAAACATACCTTTAAAGCAGGCATAGGCCATACGGTCGTTTACCGATTTCCACTTAATCAAAGCGGAGTAAGACTTTTCAGGCATAGCAATCTCTACATGATTTCGCCCCTAGTTATCCGAATAACCATTACCTCTGCATGGAGCCAGTTTTAATAATTACAGGGACAAGAGAAGTGAGGCAATCGGACCTCCGACAAGCAGGCGTCATCCGCGCCGTATTTGGAAAAAGCAATAAACCATGGATCCGCTTTTTGTCGGAATTTTACATGGCTTTATTAGCCATGTTAATTTATACTGTAATAAATAAATTTTATAGCTATTCAGTTTGAATTCTAATGTCGCTAGATCCAATGGTCTATTTATAGAATTAACTAAAGCATTTCAAACTTTCTTATTTTTAATAAGTTATGTTCTGATTCGGCCATATTTTTCATAAACCATCATAAGGGAGTGCATCTCTATGGCGTTCATGGCATTAACAGCAAAGCTAACCAATCTTCACTTTGACTTGTCAGTATTTGAAGAAGTTGTCGATATGGTGACTCATTTAAAAGGGTGGCAGCTTCGCGCACGATTACCATTTACTAAGCCCTAAGATATCTAACCGTCTTAAACCTACTCACCATCGCCAAAGTGGTAAATGACCTACTAGAAAAAAGAAATTATTTTAGAAATTATCATGTAATTAATATATTCCTTTTAAAAGAAGATTGAAAAAAAATTACACATCGTACCTTTCATTAGCTTTTTGCGATATCATTCAATAAAATATTCGTGACTAAGCTTAAATTCTATTTAAATATAAACATGGACGAGTCCGGGTTATGCTGGCGATTCACCTGCACTTTTATCGCCAAGAGAGACTGCCTGACATATTTGTCCAATGTGATAAGCCAGCGGAGCAAGTTTAACCAGTAATGTGACTCTCAATAAAAAAAACAGTGAAATGGGAAGGTGGATAATGAATAAAAGAAGAAAGTGTTCTTCAGTGGTGAAATAAATGATATAGAAGCGTTGCCATCATTTCGATGAATTATTTTATAAGTTCAAATCTATTTCAGAGGTCTTCTATTTTGTCAAAAAATTTTAACTAAAATTTATTTAAGCTTTTAAAATTGTCTGATGATTATAATGCAATTTTGAATGAATACAACGATGAATATATTTTATTTCATCAATTACTTCAATACATTTCATTAAATATTTTAACGAATTTCTCGACCGTATTAATTATCTGTTTCTTGTCTTAAATCTACTACGATAAAAATTTATATCATTTCATCGGTTTTAACAATTTTCACAAAAATTAAAAAATTATTTTTTAAAATTATAAAAATTCTACATTAATTTTTTAATCGAAACCTTGAAAGAAACCTTTTATGAATGATAAATAATATTATTTATTCAATTCAATTATAAATGGTACCAGTCTCATACTAAGCTTACTGAACAAGAATTATTCATAAGTTGAAAAATGTGATCGTTTGCCGAGCGACTGGCCTGCTAATGCATCAAAATATCGCTTTGGTAGCAAATCAACGCGATCAAAGCGATTGAAATCGGTGGGTTCGAATCTCTTGCCAATGGAATCAGTGAATGGATTGATTGCCCTTCGATTTCTCTGAAAAAGTATTACTTCGAATTTATGGTTTTTCAACGGAAAATTTCCTACTTTTTATCTTTCCTGCCAAAGTGCTTATGTCGGAGAAACGATGCATACTTTAGCCCTCAATAAATTCCTTAGAGAAAAATCCTATAACATTGTATGAGAAACAAAACGTCATTGTTGGTTCACTTAAGGAAATCCAATCTGGCTTATTTCGCTGTTGACCTATCAAACTATTTCTATTAAATTATTTTAAGGATTCATTCTCCATAGTAGTAAGAATTATTAAAAAGGGCCGAAATTAAAAAAATGGTTTTTACCTATTTCAACTCAATTTATCTATCACAAAAATATTTAAAATCGGCCATAGATCATTGAAAATAATGGAAATTTTTGAATAAAAAATATTATTTAACATCAAAAAAAGTGAAAATTAAAGAAAAATTATAATATAAAATATTTTAATGATACATGATTCAATTATTAAATAATACTAGCATATTTGAGGTTAGCAAACTTTTGGTTGTTATATTTAAGAGAAGAAAGTCGTTTTTATATCCATTTCCGTTTGACTGACTGCTGCAAATGCCGACCTACAGATTATTCGATTTGACCTAAGGTTTTTCTAGGTCAAAAATTAGATTCTTTGGTAAGGTAGTGCGAATTAATGAAAAACGAGATTTCTTATAGTGATTTTCTATTATTAAAGGCGTAATGCATAAATAAAAGATGGAGCGCATAGAAATATATATATATATATATATATATATATATACCAAATCACCAGAGAACATTTTGTCGGTTTTAATAATTTTAATATTTTCTATTATTTTAAATTTTATTAATTTAATTTTAATTTTAAATTTTTAACAATTTATGTATTTAAATTATATGCGTTAAGTTAAATTAGTTATATGCATTATATATTTGCATTAAATTAAATTTATGTAAATTATTGAAGGAAATTTTAAATAAAAATAATGCAATAAAAAAAAACTTTTATTTCTTAAAGTTTTGAAATGATTTTTTAAATTTTGGCCTAAAACACCATTTCCTCTCTATGAAATCTAGGGAATTCAATGGTTAAAATTTAAATGAGCCTCCAGTTTTCGAGTTGTAATTCCAGGGATAACCGATAAATGGCGATCCTACATTTCTCCTTTTTTTTCAGAGCTAATATTAACATTAACATTAATTTCTCTTATTAACATTAACATAAAAAAGAAAATCAGAAGAGAAAAAAGTTCACTTGAAAAAAACTTTAAACAAATGCCTGCACGTGCTTATAAGGATTCGGATATGATGCTGTGCTTCTATCACCAAGGGACGCTGTGGCAAAACTTTGTCAAGACAGACAAGCCAGTGGAGCGAGTCCAACCAACAATGGTGAGAAAAAAAAAAATTTTTGGAATAAAAAAAATAACATCTGGCACTCATAACAACAAAGTCAACACTTCGCTCCTAAAGTTGAAGATTTTCTTGCTTTTTTCATCTTTTTTTATGATATTTGCTTGTATAATATTCCAATAAATAAT